ATGTTTGTTTTTTTTACTTTTTAAAAAATTATTTAATTTTATTTATTGTTATTTTTTAATTTGCTATAGGACACACGTGCTCACAAGAGGGAGAGAGAATGAGAAACCAAGTTGCTAGGTCTGGGACTGAACTGTGGTTAGCCATGTGGGAGTCAAACACCGCAGCTACCATGCCACCTGCTACTCCCTTTAGTTTTACTACTTTTTTCCCTCTCTTCTTTTTTTAATGTCAGAGGGTGTAAGTACATACACATATGCAAGAGAAAAAGGGAGGAAAAAGAAAAATAGAGAAAAATCACCCCTCAATGGGGTCTGGTTCAACCCATAATCCTTTTTCCAATTCTCCATCTGTCAGGATCCAGGGCACAAGTGTACACTCAGCATGTTTTTCTTTCTTTCTTTTCAGAATTATTTTATCTAACTTTATTATTATTATTTTCCAGTTTGATCAGAGAGAGAAAGAAGGAAAGTGAGAAAGCAAGCCACCAGGTCCAAGACTTGAACCATAGCCAGCCATGTGGGAGTCCAGTGCCTTTAACCACCATGCCACCTGCTGGCCTAGCTTGAAAATCATGCTGGTTGTGAATGCATGCTCAAAACTCCAAGAGGAGGGAGAAATGGAGAAGGGATTGTAGCACAACTATACCACATGGAGGGGGGGTGTGCTTTCTCACTTTCCCACTCTTTCTGTCTCTCTTGATAAAAAGATTAAAATAAAAAACAACAAAAAAAAGGGCTAGCCAGTGGCACAGAATGAAGGTGGCTGGATCCTGCATGGCCAACTTCACAGTTCAAGTGACAGATCCAGTGGCTTGAAAACCATGCTGGTATGTGTGCGTGTGTACCCAAAATCCCAAGAGGAGACCAGAGAAGGTGCTGTGGTGTGGCCATCCCCCAATGAATTCCCCATCGAGAGTGGGTACATGCACCCTATAGCAAACTTAAACCAAGAAAAGAATCTCCTGCTGGAGGGTCCAGACATGCAAATTAGAGAAATAAGCAAGCACCTGGAAGAGGCCTGACTTACAAATACAACCATCAGGCCTGAGACCTGGGGAGGTCTACTGGGTCCATCTCTATGAACAGAAGCTGAACACAGCACCCATACAAACAGCACTGATGGTCTCTTCCTACATTCAGTCCACTCTACAGATCTCTACCTGAATTCTTGTTACCACTACTGGGCAATTTCAGATTTCCTACCACAGGTCAGATCAAACTGAGCTCTTCACTTTGGGAAGACAATGCTAACTCCCCTCTCGCACTGCCGTAGGCCATATCCTCCTGTCTGACTCTGGCTCTATATTATGCTCCATTCTTCCACCAAACTAAGGTAAGAACTACAGTTCTAATCCCATGTTTCTGGGCCAGAGTGGCGCAGTGGTAAAATATGCTCTGCAAGGTTAACCAAAATGGAAAGGTTCTGGGTATACATCCAGAAATTTCCTTGAATTGATGCGGCATATGTATGCCCATGACAGGCTGGAGGTGAATCAGTGTCAAGGACCTACTTGGGTACTGTCATTCTCTCTCTCACCCAAGAAATAAAAAGAAGGAAGCTTTAAACAAATGTTTTACAGGGCTGGCTCTGTGTTGCAGCAGTAATGTGCTACTCAAGGGACGCTAGATTCCAAAAACAGGTAACCAGAGTTCAAATCCCTGGCAAGCGTGCTTGGCCTGAAACACACCGGGAATGCCCATAAGTGCTCAAAATCCATGGGCTGGAGGGCTGGACGAGGGGAATCCTGGCCTGATCAGACCTTATTAAGGGTGCTCCTATCTCCCTTCCCCTCTTCCATCTCCTGTGTACACACTCCATCAAGAATAAAGGGGGAAAAACACTTCCTACAAAGACACCTTTGCTGACCTTGTTAATCTAGAATCCCCGCATTCCCATTTTGTCCATGTGAGCACAATCACAAAATGTCACACTTTACTATGCTGCCTTATAAATAATGGAAAGGAACAGAAATCAAAAGGTCTAGGGACTAGCAGATGATATAATGATTACATCACCGGACTCCCACGTAGCCAGCTGCAGTTAGAATCCTGGACCTGGCAGCTTAAATGCACGCTGGGTGCATGCGCCTGAGTTTCTGATTGCGGTCTCTTGTCTAACTTACTTGGACCATCTCCTTCACATGCATTCCCAGGTGCCTATGCCTATCCCTTGATACGAAGGGCCCTATCTCTATCCGCCCGCCCTTTTAAAAAGAATTATTTATTGAGGAGGCCGGCAGGTGGCATGGTGGTTAAAGTGCTGGACTCCCACATGGCTGACAACAGGTCAAAGTCCAGAACTGGCAGCTCACTTTCTCACTTTCCCAGTCTCTCGCTGTTTGGTAAACTGAAAAATAAAAATAAATAGTAATAACAAATAAAAAAATATTTTTTTTAATGAAAGAATTATTTATTTGGTCCATTAGATGGTATAATAATTACATCTCTGGACTCCCACGTAGTTGACCAAGGTTTGAATCCCAGACCCAGTGGCTTAAAACTCACGCCAGGTGCATGCATGCTCAAATTCCTGAGGAGAATGGAGGAGAAGGAATGCAGCATGGCCATCCTCTCTGAGGATGTGATCTCTCCTTTTTTGTCTCCCTCTCTGCCGAGAGAAACACGCCCTTATAGAAAAAAATCTCTCTTAAAAAAAAAAAATTAGATCCCGAGAGAAGAATGGAGGAGAGGGGATTGTTGCGAGGCCATCCTTTCTGGGGAGTGATCTCTCAATTTCTGCCTCTGTCTCTCTCTGTCTTTCTGGTGAGCGCACCTGCCCTATAGCAAAAATCTCTCCAAAAAAAGAAGAGAAAAAATTTTTTAAAAAAAGAAAGAAAAGAAAGGAAAAAAGAAAGAAAAGAAAAGTCATGGCATATTTTGAGTGCACACGCCCTACAGCAAAAATCTCTCCAAAAAAATTATTTAATTCTATTTGCTACTATTTTTTAATTTGACCAGAGAGAGAGGCAGAGAGAAAAAGGGAAAATGAGAAAGATTATCCTTAAAGAAACTAACAATTAGAGGGGGCCACCAGGTGGCGTGGTGGTTAAGAGTGTTGGACTCCCACATGGCCAACCTCAGTTTCCAGATCTGGCAATTGCTTCCTTACTCCCTCCTCCTCGCACTGTCCCTCTCTGGTAAAATAAAAATAAATAAATAAAGTTAAATAAAATAACTCTTTTAAAAAAAGAAACTAGCAGCTAAAAAGGGTGATTTTAAAGTTGGAATTTCACTACAGTTTTTGAAATTTTGTAAATTTTAAATTATTTGAATATAAAAAATTTTCTAAGAAAAATTTACAAGTTTCCCCCGTTAAAAACCCAAATAAACAAGGGTTTTTTTTTTTTTTTTTTTTTTTTTTTGCTTCTTTTTGGTGACAGGACATGTGTCCTCGCCAGAGATAGAGGAAAAGCAAGAAATCATCCCCAGGGGACATGGTCACGTCACAATCCCTTCTCTTCTATTTCTCCCTCCTTTCAGGATTTTGGTCACACACAGACATGTACCTGACATATTTTTCAAGCAACCAGGTCTGAGACATGAACTGTGTTGGTCAGTCATATGGGATTCAGCTGCCTCAACCAGTAGGGGATGGCCCCTGGCTATTTTCAAACAACATAATAACAATCTTGGGGGACCAGCAGTTGGCGTAATGGTTATGTTGCTGAACTTCCATGTAGTCGACCACCATTCAAGTCCCAGACTTGGTGGCTTAAACTCATGCCAGGTGCGTGTGCATGTGTGCACAAGATCCTGACAGGAGAATGGAGGAGAAGGGATTGCGGCATGGCCATCCCCCGGGAGGGGGTGATTTCTCACTCTCCGCCTGTCTCTCTCTGTCGTTCTGGAGAGCGCACACGCTCTATAGCAAAAATCTCTCAAAAACAGGCCCACCAGGAGTGGTGTGATTTTATGTTTTTTTTTTTTTTTTTTTTAAGAATTATTTATGTGGCCACCAAGTGACACAGTGGTTAAGAAGCTGGACTCTCACAAGGCCGACAGTGCTTTGAGTCCCAGACCTGGAGGTTTGAAACTCACTCCAGGCACATGTGCATGTGTGCCTAAAATCCCAAGAGGAAAAGGGACTGTGGCATGGCCCTCCTCCCTAGGGGTTGATTTCTAACCTTTTCTCTCTGTCTGTCTCTCTGGTAAGCACATGCACCCTAGAGCAAAAATCACTCTGGGGGAAAAAAATTATATAATTATATTTAATAATATTATTATTTTTAAAATTTGCTATAGAGCATATGCACTCACCAGAGAGAAAAAGTGAGAAAAGCAAGCTGGCAGGTTGGGAACCCGAACCACGTCTGGCCATGTGGGAGTCCAGTGCCTTAAGCACCACATCACCTGCTGGCCCCTATTTTATCTTTTAATTCACCAACACTGTATCCAAAAATTCTAATTAAAAAGAACAATCTTGGGGCTGGTAGGTGGCATGGTGGTTGAGGGCACTGAACTCCCACATGGCTGACCATGGTTCAAGTCCTGGATCTGGCGGCTTGCTTTCACACTTTCTCTCTCACTCTGTCCTTCTCTGGTCAAATTAAAATTAAAAAATAATTCTTTAAAAACAAGAAAAGGAACCATCTCAGAGCCTTGCGGTGATGAGTTTATAATCCATATTCCACTGGATCTGTACACTTACATGTAAGGAATGAACTCCTGGCACACAGATAACACTTGCAATGTACCATTCATTAATATCTGTAACATATTCTTCCTCAGAAGGGATTACAAAGAAGTGTTCCAGGCACCAAGCCCCAAAGCATCTCCAAATCTCTGAATTAGTTTACTGGTCATTTCATTTATCTCCATACCAGGATAGACCTCCTGCCTGCTGCATGGCCTCACCTGCTGCTCCTCCCCGACTTACACCAAATAGTAACACTTTATCACTGTACAACTAACATCAAGGCAATAAACAAGCCAGAGGTTGCCAGGCAAGTTCTCAGTGGGCCCTGAGGGAGCAGGCTGCCCTACAGGTAAGTCTCACTTACTGAACAAGTAACCTGGAGCTGTTGCTGCGGCTGCTGCTGTGGTGGCGGTGTCTGTTCCTGGGGAGTTTGCTGCTGTGGCTGCTGCTGGGGGTCCCATATATGGACAGTCTGAGTCGTGTTCTGGTACGTGCCTGCCACGGCCTGCCCAGCCACTGGAATGTGGATGTTGCCATTCATGAACTGTGCTGGAAAGAGAGAGTTTGCAAGGGTCTGCACAACCTCTTCATGGGAGTTTTTCACTACAGACGTGGTGCCCACCATCTTCTCCTTGTCATCCTCCAGCTTTACAGCCGCCAGGGCTGTGGGTGAGCCGCTGACATGAACTGCGTTGTAGGCTTCCTGGGGAATGGCAATGTGGGTAATGCTCTGTTGCTGAGGGTCCCCCCGGGGCTGGGCAGAATAAACAGGGATGGTCCAAGTTTCTCCTGTAGGGCTAGTAATGGTCCCAGTGGCACTGTACAGGTGGGCACTGTCTACTGTCAGTAAGTCTGGCCTCAAGGACACGTAACTCTGTTGCTGGCCCTGTGGAATGGCCAGTACGGTGGCCACCGGCTGCCCTGAGATGGCATAAGACACAGTGATGGGCATGTCCACTTTGCGCTTCTTCACTGGCTGGAGGACACTGGGCCCCCCCGCCGTTCCCCTTCACGGGGTGAGCCCTGCTGGGATGGTGGAGGCGAAAGGGCACCCACAGTCTGGATTTGGATCTGTTGACCCCCGGCAAGAGACTGGCCAGCCACCAGCTGAGCCTGGATTTGCTGATGTGGGATGTGCTCTTCCGGGATTTCTGCAGCCTGGATCTGCTGAGCTGCCTGCACGTGCTGCACCTGGATCTGGGCTGCCTGCAGCTGTGAGGGGCTGGGGCTCTGCAGAGATGGGGTCTGTATGGAGGGGGCTGCGGACTGCGGTGCCTGGCCCTGGATTTGCACCTGGACCTGGATGGGCTGCTCTGCAGGCTGATGAACAGTGAGCTGCGGGGAGAGTTGCTGAGCCGAGACCTGCTGTGGAGACTGCTGGACCTGGACCTGGACCTGTGGGGACAAGATTCAGCAGTGAGTAAGCCAGGCATCACCAAGAACCCAGCCCCCAAAGAAGAAGAGATCTCAAGAAAGAGCCCTATGTAATACCAGGAAGAGGACTGCCGTACCCTTGGCTTGTGAGGAGGCCACATCACCAAACCCAAATAGATCATCCTTCAGTATCACACTGCATTAACAGATACATACCCACTCCAGAAAGCAAGTAAAACAATCAACTGGCATCTAAGAAGGAAATACCACAACTTGTTCGAAACTTTTAACTCTTCTTTGAAAATGCGATCCTTTGTTTTTTGCATATTAATAGAGTAGAACAAATAGATTATTTATTGGCTCCTGCGAAAAGTCATGACTTTTTTTTTTTTGATAGATGTTTTTGCTATAGGGTGTATATGCTTCCCAGAAAGACAGACAGAGATGGAGAGACAAAGAGCGAAAAATCACCCCCCAGGAGGGATGGCCATGCCACAATCCCTTCTCCTCCATTCTCCTCCCAGGATCTTGGGCACACATGCACGTGCGCCTAGCATCAGTGTAAGCCACCAGGTCCAGAACTAGAACCACGGTCGACTACATGGGAGTCCGGCAACATAGCAATTACGTCAACTGCTGATCCCCATAACATATTTTTGCATAGAAAAATACATCAAAAAACACCTTATCTGGACTGGCCTAGTACTTAACAGAGCCAGAACTCACAGAACTGACCATGGTTCAAATTCTAGCCCGGGTGGCTTAAAAACATCAGGCCGAAATCCTGATGGGGGATAAATGGAGGAAAAAGGATTGTGGCATAACCACACACCCTACAGTAAATTAAAAACAAACAAAAAGGGACCAGCAGTTAGCGTAATGGCTATGTTGCTGGACTCCCACGTAGCCAACCACGATTCGAGTCCCGGATCCAATGGCGTAAACTCACACTGGGCGCGTGTGCGTGTGTGCCCAAGATCCCAAGAGGAGAATGGAGGAGAAGGGATTGTGGCATGGCCATCCCCCCTGGGGGGTGATTTCTCGCTTTCTATCTCTCTGTCTCTGTCTGTCTGGCAAGCGCACGCACCTTATAGCAAAAACCTCTCCAAAACAAACAAACAAACAAAAAGACACAGAATTTGGATTATTTAATCTGAGTAAGATTACTATATCCTGAATGACACATTTCTAGTAGCAGTGCAGTTCATATCGTTTTTGGTGTAGACACTGAAATATACTGTGGTACAGCATCAGCAGGGCAAATACAGTATGCTGCATTGCAGTGCTGGAAACCCAGAAGCTGACTATGGTTTCAGATCTCCAGGAGCTCTGGAACACGAGGGGTGTGGGCAGAGAGGGCTGAGGGACGTGCATTGCAGCATGATGAGACCTTGCTGAGAGTGCCTGTCTTTCTGCTCTCTCCTGAATGCACACATTCTCAAGCATAAATACACTATTTAAAGAAAAGGAAATTAGCTGACAGTTCTATGAACAGTTAAAGATATCGTACGTCAAACATATGATTGACAAACCATTGCAACCCATTAACTTTTTTTTTTTTTTTGGAGAGGTTTTCGCTAGAGGGCGCGTGCGCTCGCCAGACATAGAGAGAGAGACAGAGAGATAGAAAGCGAGAAATCACCCCCCAGGGGGAATGGTCACACCGTAATCCCTTCTCCTCTATTCTCCTCTCGGGATCTTGGGCACGCACGTACACGCACCTGGCGTGAGTTTTAAGCCACCGGGTCCGGGACGCAAACCGCAGTCGACTATGTGGGAGTCCAGCGACATAGCCATTACGCTAACTGCTGGTTCTAGCGACCCAGTAACTTTAGAAACCCTCATGTATGGAAAATGTATTACAAAAATACTAAGCATGGATTTCAAACATTTTTTTTGCACCTAAATTAACTCATTCTAACTTATTATAATGACACATCTTTGGAGGATCTCATTTGAGGCACTAAGAAGAGAAAGACATCAATTTCAAAACAGCCGCTATTGGGACAGTTTCACTGTCGCTGAACTCCCATGTAGTCAACCGCAGTTCGAGTCCCGGACCCGGTGACTTAAACTCATGCCAGGCACGTGTGCGTGCGTGCCCAAAACCCCGAGAGAATGAATAAGGGATTGCAGCATGGCCATCTCCCCTGGCCGGTGATTTCTTGCTTTATCTCTCTCTGTCTTTCTGGTGAGTGCATGCACTCTATAACAAAAACCTCTCCAAAAAAAAAAAAAAAAAAGCCTTCATATTTATACTTCTAGCAACAAAAAGAGCAAATACTAATGGACCAGCCACAACTGTGCTGGTGGCAGGGCTCTGCTGAGTGACACTGGAGTCACATGGGAGGCCCAGGTGAACCAGTAATCCTGGCTGGCTGAGAGGCTAGGGGAAGGATACAGGCATGGCAAGATCCTGTCAAAAGTACCTGCCCCAGAAACAGCAGATGGTGTAATGGTTACATTGCTGGACTCCCAAATGGCAGACTACAGTTCAAGTCCCAGGCTCAGTGGCTTGAAATTTACACCAGGTGCATGTGTGTGCATACCCAAAATCCCAAAAGGAAAATGAAGGAAAAGGGATCGCAGTGTGGCCATTCCCCCTGGGGGTGGTGATTTCTCACTTTCTATCTCTCTGGTGAACACACACACCCTACAGCAAAAAACAAAAACAAAAATCAAAAAACAAAAATAAAACCTCTTGTTAAAAAATAAAATGTCTCAGGAACCAGCAGTTAGCGTAATGGCTATGTCGCTGGACTCCCACGTAGTCGACCACGGTTCGTGTCTCGGACCCGGTGGCTTAAAACTCACGCCGGGCGCGTGTGCGTGCGTGCCCAAGATCCCAAGAGGAGAATGGAGGAGAAGGGATTGCGGCGTGACCATCCCCCCTGGGGGGTGATTTCTCGCTTTCTCTATGTCTCTCTCTGTCTGTCTGGCGAGCGCACACGCCCTACAGTGAAAATCTCTCCCAAAAAAAAAAAAAGTCTCTCTCACATGAAATAAACTTTTTAAAAAAAGTCTCTCTCTAAGACATCATTCCCTGAGCAAACCATAGTTGGTGAGACTGTCTAAAAAGCCTGGCATCAAGCCTCAGTTCTTTCCCTTTTTTTTCCCTATTAAAGGGCAGGGAAAAAACAAGCAAATCTACGGATGCTGTGTGAACTCTCACCCTGACATTCACCATCAGAGGGGCTTCTCTCTGGCACAAACACAATTATTCTTTCTAGAAGAAGTACCTATCTTGGGGCCAGCAGGTGGCATGGTGGTTAAGGGCACTGGACTCCCACATGGCCAACAGTGGTTCAAGTCCCAGACCTCCTGGTGGCTTGCTTCCTCACTCTCTCTCTGGCTCTGTCCCTCTCTGGTAAGTCAGTCAGTCAGTCAAGTCAAGTCACAAAGAAAGAAAGGAAAGAAGGAAGGATGGATGGATGAATGAATTCTTAAAAAAAAAAAAAAAAAAAAAAAAAGTACCTGTCTTTGGAGAGTTCTGAGAGGGAGGTTAAATGAACCCCTTTATCTAGCACAGGCAAACCTGCCAGCAACAAAGAACTTGGCCTTTCCCAGTGTTGTACATAGTCCGGGAGTTTAAGGTCTTCCATCAGCCTTCAGAGGTGCCTCCCTCATCCAGAACAGACGTATACCAGTCTTCTAATTAAACTTTCACATACAGCTTTGTCTCCACCAATTCACCAAATGTGATTTTTTAAAAGAATTATTTAACTTGGAACCAGCAGTTAGCGTAATGGCTATGTCGCTGGACTCCCATGTAGTCGACCACGGTTCGCGTCCCGAACCTGGTGGCTTAAAACTCACACCGGGTGTGTGTGCGTGCGTGCCCAAGATCCCAAAAGGAGAATGGAGGAGAAGAGATTGCGGCGTGCCCATCCCCTCTGGGGGGTGATTTCTCGCTTTCTGTCTCTATGTCTCTCTCTGTCTGGCGAGCGCACGCACCATATAGCGAAAACCTCTCAAAAAAAAAAGAATTATTTAATTTTATTTATCATTATTTTAAAAATAATTATTTTATTTAACTTTATTTATTTATTTTAACCAGAGAAGAAGAAGAAGAAGAAGAAAGAGAGAGAGACAGACAGACAAACACACAAAGTGAGAAAGCAACCCACCAGGTCCAGGACTTGAACCATGGTTGACCATGTGGGAGCCCAGTGCCCTTAACCATCATGCCACCTGACAGCCTTTTCACTGCTTTTGGAGAAAGCAGGTTTGTTCCCACCTTAGGGCTTTCTGGTTTGGAATGCTCTTTCCTCATATAACCAGACAGCTCATTTGCCAACTTTTTCTGGTTTTGATTCAAATGGCACCTGCACAGTGAGGCTCACTCTGGTCACTCCATCTGCTTCTGTTTTTCACCTTTACATTTATCTATTATTATCTACTACAAGTTGTTAAAAATCTCATCTGCCTCACCCAGCTAGAATGTATGCTCTACAAGGAAGGGGTTGTTGTCTTGTTTCTTGCTATTTATTATTTAATCTTCTTGCAAAGGGCTTTATACATAAACGGAGACCTATGGAAAGGGCTGGGGTAGGAAAGAATAACGGCCCTGGATCTACAAGCAAAACATCCCTGAGCAATACTCTCCTAAAAATTACAAAAGCAGCTCATGTTTAATTTAAAATTTTAATCTCTCTGGGACCAGCAGTTGGCATAATGGCTATGTCACTGGACTCCCATGTAGTTGACTGTGGTTCGAGTCCCAGACCATGTCTTAAACTCACGCCGAGTGCGCGTGCATGCCCAAGATCCTCAGAGAAGGATGGAGGAGAAGGGACTGCAGCATGGCCATCCCCCCTGGGGGGTGATTTCTCGCTGTCTGTCTTTCTCTCTGTCTTTCTGGTGAGTGCATGTTCACTATAGCAAAAACCTCTTAAAAAAAAAAAATTTAAGCTCTCCTTCTTATACCCCAGTCTCCAGCCCTATTCCTGTTGTAGGTTCTAGTATTACTGTTTTGCTTTTCTTTTTTTACTATACAGACAATGGATTTTTATTCTTGACTT